AAATCATCACCCAGCTGATTGACAGGCAGGCCCTGGGGAACAAAACTCACGAATAACTGAGACGAATTGAGATTTCTCAGTCTGCGACAGCATGTCTGCAGCAGATGACTGTTATTTAAAATTGGCTTTTTAAAACTTTGCTCTGAAAAAGAAGTGGAAAACTGACCACCTGTGATTCAAAGAAGGCTGCTGTATTATTATGCAACCCGCCATCAGCTCCAACATGGAAAACTAAATGTCACTCTCCGCACCGCCACGCTGTTCTCTCTTTGTTCCAGTTCCCGGATCTGAGCAATTAGCACCTGTTAAGGAACTAAATTTCTGAAACGCTATTTCGTTGGAGAAAGTCAATCCACTGCCACTTTCTACTTCTATTCACCCATACTCCCCTTCTTTTTTCCCCTGTACTCACACCAGGTGTTTCCTCGTATCTGCAGCTCAACATGCTTGGTAGGGCTCAGGTTGAGGCTTGACATTCTCTCTGAAATCAATAAGCGAGTGGGCTTCTGTTTAGCTTGTGCTCTACATGCCAGCAAACAACACTTCGCTGTATTGGCGGTGCAAGGGAATACAGCCGATATGTGGAACAAACAAGGGGCCATTAACTGTGGAACACAGGCTGAAATTCATCATAAGCTGAGTTATAAATTCAATTTTGTGAATTGCCAGTCAGTGCCCCCACCCGGGAACAATAGATGATATACAACCCACTTGGCTCAATCCAATAAGTAAGGGCGATGGGCGATCCTGGGCCCACCTGCCCTGTAATCATATTATTGCTGTGTGGGTCAATCAGACATGAATAAAAAGGTTTGTGTGTTGCAGCTGACAAAGAGCGAACTGGGAAGTTGAAACAATGGCACACGCTGAAAGTGACCATTATTAATTAGAAATTAGCACAGGTATGTTTAAGACAGGTCCAGCCTTCTCTTTCTTTTGTTCTTATTCATTTTTTGATTGCATAACCTCCACTTTTGCTACAAAATGACACATTTTTCAAATCTGTGAATCATAAGCATAACCATAAATTATCGAGAGCTGACCTTTCTATTTGGTGTTTGCATGCTCATCTTTTGCCTTTGTGGGTCTTTTCGGGTTCTCCTGTTTCTTCCCACAAGCCATCGATGCATGTTAGGTTAGCTGGTGATTCTAGATTGACTTTTTCTGTGGATTTGACAGTTAGGGAAGGATGGTGACCTGTCCAGGGTTATCAAAAGGTGACTGTAGTTACTGTGACGTCACCTATTGGTTTCTGACGTCCCATTTTGAAGCCCTTTAGATGAGCATTTCCTTTCATTTTGAAACATAGTATCACCAAGATTTACTAAGTAGACTCTATGTTTTATTTAGAGTGACCGGAGATGAGTGACTGGGCCAAAAAACTTATCAGGAAAGTGAAGTCAGACTTTTATTGGACCAAAGTTTTATCGTCGTTTCAGATAAAATGCACATTTAAAGTACTTTAATTTTTCCAACAGAGAAGCTAATCCAACCCCAACAAATAAATCCAACATCAAACCTTTATTAAGAAAACTGGAGTGGAGCAGAAACCAAATTGTGGAGTCTAGAAACCACCGTGCACCATCCATCTTTTATATCCCGTCTATGGCAGCAGTCGTCTTTTTTTCACCACGGACCAGTTTAATGTTAGACAATATTTTCACAGACCGGCCTTTAGGTATTGCAGATAAATACAACAAAATAAAATGATATGACCAAGACAAAACCTGTGGTATTTTTTAAATATAATAATAAATGCGAATTCACAGTGTAATTGTGTAACTTTATTAGCAGCGTCCTCCTGAGATGCACCAACAACGTTGAGAGTAACATCCTCCTCTCTGCCCATTAATGCTCTCTGGTTGCTATGGTAATGCCTAGATATTTTTTTCAAAATAACTCACACAACTACAACACGGGAAAAGACCCAGGGAAACTGAGTTAACGATAAAAACCCTGAAAACCATAAATTTAACACCCAAGCCTCAACTCTCACAGCCCGGTACCAAACGACTCACGGACCGGTACCAGTCCATGGCCCGGGGGTTGGGGACCGCTGGTCTATGTCACAGCTAAGGTCATTTCAGCAGAAAAGTTAATTAAACAAAAATGTAAATGTTGTTTGATGTTTATAGCAGTGACATCCAATATCCTTGCTCTCAGGGATTGCTTGTAGATATTCTGTCCTCTTAGCTTAAACTTTGGCTGTCGTCAGCGTGAGCATCCATCACAAGGATGCATGACAGAAAGTAAAGAAAAGAATTATAGGTCCCCTTCAAGCAAACAGCATTCATGAGCTTTTGAATCATATGTAGGATCTCACCTTCGTTCTACATAGCTCAGGGTCGTTCTACACGTCCTCACATAGCCCTTTCAGCTCATGTCACGGGCTTTGTTGGAGGAAAATGGTTTGTTAGTTAGCACGAAGCTTTTCTCAAAATATCGTTTCCCATTTTAGGTAAAGGTTGTATTTGTGAATCTTTTTTTTTAGCGGATTGGATTGAAATTTCAACAGCTGAACTCTTCTGAATAATTTGCAGCTAATTAATCATTGCTGAATGTTTTTAGTAATACTCTTTTACCTCAGTGAAAAATATTTTATTTTGAAAACATGATATTTTTCAGTGTTTTTATTCTTTGTAAGTAAAAAAGATCAAGGGAAAAAAGATCACACTGATGATTTAGAATTCAAAAACTCACTAAAACGCATCAAATATGGCACACTAGGCATTAAGGGGTTAAGATATTTGATTATCATTCAGTGGCATTGTTTCATAGGTACATAACCACTCAAATGTTTGATCAGAAAGGCCATGACTGACTGTCATTAATCCAACTAGTGATCATAGATATTTATTTTCTATTTAGATATACAATGGGTTTATCTAATGCAACTTCATCGTATCAAAATACTAATTGATCACTGAAAGAAAACATTATCCGGTTGTGTTAGCACAGCCTAAAAGTCCTGTGCTGATTAAGGAAGCAGTTTGGCTAGTCGAGCCTCTGGAGCTTTTTGTGGGTTTTATGAGAAATTACTTTCTTTTGAAATTTGTCAGAGTATTCCTGGTCTAAGAAACGAAGGCTATTCCATGTGGAAAATTGCCCCCCAAAAATGGAAGATTTCATAAAACAGTGTGTACTACTCCCATCAGAGAGCAGGGCAAACCGGCTCTAAACAGAATAGAAAGAGAAGTAAGAGGCCACAGTGCACCGCTGAGCAAGAGCACATCAGAGTCTGAGAAACAGATGCCTCATAGGTCTTCAACTGGCAGCTTCATTACTCTCAAAACATCAGTCGCAACAGTGAAGGGCCAACTCCAGGATATTGGCTTCTAGGCAGAGAAAGGTACATGTGAGATTAAAGACTGAAGAGAAAAGATAGAAATGGGCAAAAAACACAGGC